GGCAGCCATCAGGCTATTCGTTTTTTTTCATAGGACAAGGAGGTTGAAAGACAAAAAAATAAATAAATAAAAAATACTTATACATTTGGTGTGTAATCTGCTTCCTGGTAACTACAGTGTAAACTCCCCATTCTGAATCCACCGCCTGCTGCACCACACACATCGTCAGGGTCACGATCTGGCTGATGGTAGAACGTTTTAGAAAGTACCAGGTGGATTAATTTGCATTCAGGGACGATATACGATCTTTTCAGAATCAGGAACACGCAGGTATTTTGAGACAAGCAGCACAAAGTCATCACAACATGTACAATACATCAACTTGAAGTTGAAAATACTGAGAATAAATAAATATTCAAATATATTTCACGTGTGATGCTAAGAAGCTCATAGTCAAAACTTTCGCCATTGACTTTCTGACTTTTTTCGAGGTCGCAAACATGATGTGCTACATCATGAGGATAAGAGAAGTAGAAGTAGATGCGAAGTCGTCCTCTCCTGGGAGTTTGTTTCCTTAATCTGCATTAACACACTTAAATAGCTAACTAGCTTGATAACATGCATCATGTTAGCTAACCACTTTGTAGCTTATTCAGTTAGTTTAGTGAATTCCAGGGATCAAAAAACATGGGACTGGGTAGCACACTGGAGGTTTTACTCGCCTGACGGTCTACCAAATACATCTATCATTTCTCCACTTACACATAATTCACCTTTCTGCTTTTGGTTTCATCACAGCTGAATAAATCGGTAAATCAATCTTCTCTCTGAGAGCAAGTGCTCCAAAAGAGAGCGGCGAGGCTGTTAGCATCCAGCCATGACGTTTTCTTCCTCATCCCACTCGAGTACCAGTGTGAGGAGTGAAAGCCGGCAGCCTACGCCCTCGCTATCGCCTGGATTTGGCCTCCTGCGTGTTGGCAGAGAAGTATACTGCCATAAAGTTTTCAAACAAACAAGTGTGATGTAGTAGGATTGAAATTGTAAGAAAAGGTATAAACGCTAACTCTGCCCCTAACCCTGAGCCTTAATCTTTGTAACTTTGACCATGATTAGAAGGATCCACAGGAATATCCCACTGAAATTACCCGCTGAATTAATTTTGGCACCCTCTCTCCCGCTACTTCCTGGACTATTTCCTTACCATGAATTTCATTCATTCTTTCATCGTGAGTAATCGCTTTTTTCCTGGAAAGGGATGTCATGGATCTGGGGCTTTGGGGGCGAGATGGGAATATACACCCTGGATGGGATTCCAGTCCATCACTGACCATGATACTGCCAGCCATTTTGAGGACTGAATAAGGGGCTGACTAAATCATTGTGTTTGTGCTTCATTAAAAAGATTTAATTTTTATTTTTACTGATAATCAGCTGCTCTGAAACACTTCACTACATACATCTTCAACAGTGCAGTGAATTCTCCCTGAGCCACTTTCTAGCTATGTTAGCTAGCTAGCTACGTTATGGTATAACTGGGAAGTTTACCTTTGCAGCAAGTATTGCTAACATTAGCAAAAGTTTGTTGTCTGATACTGACTTACCTTAAGAGTTTGGTTTTTTTTCTCCTGATAAAAGATGCTGGGATCCTTTCCCCACTCCAGAATCAGGATAGGGGTTCTGTGTGAGGTATACACACACACACACACACACACACACACACACACACACCCATTAGCCATAACATTAAAACCACCTGCCAAATATTGTGTAGGTCCCCCTTGTGGCGCCAAAACAGCTGACCCACTGAGGCATGGACTCCACAAGACGTGTCAAAGTAACATCCACATGAATTCCAGGACCCAAGGTTTCCCAGCAGAACATTGCCCAGAGCAACACACTGCCTCTGCCGGCTTGCCTTCTTCCCATAGTGCATCCTGGTGCCATCTCTTCCCCAGGTAAGTGACACACACGCACCCGGCCGTCCACATGATGTAAAAGAAAATGTGATTCGTGTAGGCGCTTTCGGCAGTGGACAGGGGTCAGCATGGGCACTCTGACCGGTCTGCAGCTACGCAGCCCCATATGCAGCAAGCTGAGATGCGTTGTGTGTTCTGACATCTTTCTATCATAACCAGCATTAACTTTTTCAGCAATTTGTGCGACAGTAGCTCTTCTGTGGGATCAGACCAGACGGACTAGCCTTCACTCCCCACACGCATCAATGAGTCTTGGGCGCCCATGACCCTGTCGCCAGTTCACCGGTCATCCTTCCTTGGACCACTTTTGGTAGGTACTAACCACTGCATACCGGGAACACCCCACAAGACCTGCTGTTTTGGAGATGCTCTGACTCAGTCGTCTAGCCATCACAATTTGGCCCTTGTCAAAGTCGCTCAGATCCTTACACTTGCCCATTTTTCCTGCTTCCAGCACATGAACTTTCAGAACTGACTGTTCACTTGCTGCCTAATATATCCCACCCCTTAACAGGTGCCATTGTAACGAGATAATCAGTGTTATTCACTTCACCTGTCAGTGGTTTTAATGTTATGACTGGTCGGTGTATATATATATATATATATATATATATATATATATATATATATCTTTCACCATCTTTCACCTGTAGTTACATTCAAGTTGTGATGTGAATCCAGAAATGCTTTCCCAAATATGGTGACCGCAACAGATAAATCACATGACTGAAACTCTAGGATCAACTTGTTGCCATATCTATCAGAATCATTCAAATAAAAGCTACTTATCTATTCACAGGTTGGCAGAAAATGTTTATAGTAACAATTTCTATTATTTAATGTGATTTTTAATACATGGCATTGGAACTTGGTTCTATCCCAGTGGCCATTTACATGATCCCTAAACCAGCTAAAAGTAGTATCCATGTTAATATGAACTGTTCTGTCCACTTGGTTTATGTCTGTACTCTATAGTTTCAGTTTAACACATTATTTTTCTGCACACTGAGCACTACAGCATAAAAATAATCTTATATCTGGGGGGAAATTAGATTTAGCAATAATTCATCCAATACTGCAGTGATTCACTTAAGTAAACTGATAATGGGAAAACTCTGGGTCAGGAAATAATCAAGTTTATTTCTAAATACATGATGAATGCATCTTTTGCAACCCAACAGTAAACTCTCAGTAAATGTAAAATTCAGTTCCAGTTAACCTGAAATATTTATGCTTTATTGGAAAATATTTATCTGCGAGTTTGCAAAAACTTGTTGTGAGTGTAGCAATATCATGTCCATGGTGTTTACTGCTTTGTCTTATCTTCTTGTCTATGCAGTTATGAGGATCAAAAATGACAGCATTATAGTATAAACCCAGTTATTTGGTGAAAAGTAAGCTCATCTTTATTGCACAATCCGTTGAAGTCTTTAGTTGTATAATGATCATAATATAATGTGCACGTACTCGATCGTGATCACAGAATATTTGTGATGTAGTCTTCTGGGCTGCATTTTAAATCTGGTTCTATAGTGTGTGCTTCTGATCAATAACTCATTGAAGCTTTACACAAGAGCCTCCATATCCTTCTGAAATAGAAAGGTAGTTGACCCAGTTTTCTCTTTATTACTCATGATTGCTACCGAACTACTCTGTACTCTACTCTGCTCTGTACTAATGGAAAAAGTAATATTATTATTAAAATATAATATTATAATTATAATTATAGTTTGTGCTGTACATGGCTCAACCAAAGACTAGTTCCATGTAATCACCACTGTCTTGTAGGGATGTTCCCAAATACGAATACATTATATATTAAGAATACATCATGCATGTGTGGGGATAGAGTGGTAGGGTTCATATTTAATTTGAAAAAACTTCTAGTTTAGGCCACACCCACTTCAGGTTTAAATCCAAATGCAGATATGAATATTAGCATCTATCAGCAGAGCTGACAAACATCATTCAGTGACAGTTTTCAAACCATGAACCATGACAGCTTCTATAGCAGATCCTCCATTGTGCTTTATCCAATCACATGCATTTATGTAAATTATTTCCCAGTGTAAGAGCCATAAGTTATTTATTTCTTTATATAGATAGATTTTTCATTTTATTTATGCTCTCTGGTCTGATTAGCTTTGATAACTGATGGCTTTGTAAACAGAATGGACAGAAAAGTATGCATTCGTGCTCCCATCATCAAATTCAAAACACATCACGTCTGTTGAGTCAATACTGCTAACTTGAAGCGCCACTACAAAGCAAAACCACTACAGTTGTCTTATTTATAGCCATATCCAGAACTTTGTAAGCAAAGAATTTTATGTAACTAGACTAGAATGTGCATGTTATAACCTATGAACAGCCCTTAATGCTACTCATACATCGTTCATTTCCTCTCTAATCGAAAAAAAACTGGTCACAAGCCCAGAATCCTCTTCACTGCTATTAACAAACTTCTTCTTCTGCTGATCAATGTAAGGCTTTTTCCTCAGCCTCTATAAAGCTACAATCAGCAGAATATACCAGCGTTTCCCCACTGCCTTGCTTTCACTCGATTACAGCGAGCCCCCTCTTTAGATCACATGACAAATTCCTGACAGCTTTTTCTCTTTCTGAGCCAATCATTACTATGGAACTAATCTCTAAATCTGATGCGGCTTCCTGTCTGCTCGATTCCACCCTCACTTCACTCCATGATGAGTGTTTCTATGTCGTCACTGCTTCCATCTGTCCTTGCATTAACAAGTCACCTGTTTCATCTTTTCTGCTCTTAAAAATGGTAATGTTACACCAGTTCATAAGATCCTTCATCCTTTTCTATCTAAATTGTCAGAAAGGGTTGTAGCTTTTGCATACGTTTTTCGCTGTTTGACGTGTCCTAAATGACCTCCTCCATTTCACCATGGACAATCTTTCCTTTAAGAAGCAGAAGCCTTTATTTGTCACATATACATTACAGCACAGCGAAGTTCGTTTCTTCGCATATCCCAGCTTGTTAGGAAGAGCACAGGGTCAGCCATGATACAGCACCCCTGGAGCAGAGACGGTTAAGGGCCTTGCTCAGGGGCCCAATGTGGGCAGCGCTGGGGCTTGAACCTCTGACCTTCTGATCAGTAACCCAGAGCCTTAACCACTGAGCCACCACTGCCCCAGTTTATTGGCAGTTTGTTTTGAAAACAGCGGCCAGTCATAAAGAGCACTACACCAAGTCACAGCATCTGTCTAAAATTCAGAAGAAGCACAAAAATGGCCAAGACAGAAATCCAGAAAAAGAAGCGAAAATGAAACAATATCTTGGGCAGAAATGTGTATTTGATGTAATTCCAGACTTCAAGTTCTGACTTGTACGAGCTTTTTCTTGAAGAACAAACCACTGCTTATATTTGAAGGGTGGAGGTATTGGTTTCTGCCAGAAGTTATTTTTATGGTCTTTTAAAGTTAGATGCAATTTGGCATAGTGGCATAGTAATTTCTGCCATTAACAGCGCTGTGTGAAAGAACGCATTTGATGCCACGGGTTGCTCTAGTTTAGAGTGGCGCATGCCAACCTTGATGCTGATCCACACTCGTTTTCAGACACTGAGGCTGGAGTTGAATAACCTCCCAAAAGCTGCTGCAGACTTCGCATCCTCCATCCAAGGAAGGCCAATCCTCGATCTATAAGTCTGGCTCGGTTGACAGACATGAGTTTCCAAAAAGAAGCCAAAAAGAAGAAAGAACCAAAATGTCAAGGCAGAATTCTGTATTTGATTTTAATTACAGACTGCCAACTTCTGAGAGTTTGTTCTGAAGAACAAGGTCAAGTTCATATAGTACAACTAGAAGGAACAGGAGTGAATCTACTGGAATTTTAAACGTGTTTAGGGGTATCTGGTTTTGGTATGCTGAAAAGTAGCCACCCTACTCCGGGGCCTTAGACCTTCTCCTCCTTCTTCTTGATTTCACTGTTGTTTTGGATGCTATAAATCATGACCTGCTCACTTCCAGGCTCTGGGATATTGGTAACACAGACTTGTCTCTCGCCTGGTTCAGATCCTATCTCTCTCTAACAGACATCATTTTGTTGCCAGTGGCAAACAGAAATCTGTCACTTCTATTGTTACTCAAGGCGTTCCCCAGGGATCGGTTCTTGGCCCTCTCTACTTCATTATTTAAATGCTATCCCTGGGTCAGATCCTACGTCATCACAATCTCGGTTTTCACTGAGACCATGAAACTCGGTCAGAGTAAACCACATCCTGACCAATGGCTACTTTTATAGCATGTGTTTGTGATATAAAACTGTAGAAGTCAAGTTTTCTGACACACAACTTTATCATTTTTACTTCGATTTTTTCCCCCTAGACTTTGCCATTAATGATGTCAAACCCTCTACTGTAGTACAGAACAAAATATAAAGTTTTTAAATTGGGGGAAATGTTTTTGAAAAGGGTAAAAAAAAAAAACAGCTGACTTCATTGACTTTTCCCGAAGAAATGAGCAAAAGTGATGTGAGCTGTTAGACAAGTGATGGAGTTATTTCTTCTCATTTATTTAATGTGTTTATTTTAATATTGTGTGGGTTTAGAGATGTTTAAAGGCTATTATGTAGTTCTGAAAGACCCAGGATTACTAAAATCCCAAATAACACATACTAATTTGCGTGTGAGCTAAGTGAGTGTGTTGCAGATGATTTGCAAATAACAATGGCATGAATGACATCATGTACAAAGTACTGAGAAGAAATGATACACGAATGACGCTATCTGCATCCAGAATTTCTCTAAAGCTGATTCATAACAATATTTGTTATACGTGCTATAAAAATAAAATTTCATTTAGTTGAATGACAGGAGTTTTTTTAGCATATGCTGTTTCCTTATGATTGCTGTGCATGTATTTACCCACACAAACCTTCAGTGAATCTCAATGCTTTAGCCAAAAATGTGCTTTGTGAGGTTGTGTACATGCAATGAAGCTGAATGTGCCAGGGATTTTAGTGCATGTCTCTAGTTTCTTTTTTGAATAATTACTGATGTAATGTGCAGTCGACACCCACGGCCCTCCCGCTGAATTTTTTGAGCAGTCGCTTCTGGAAAAATCGCTGCGATCCCTCAATACATCACAGTCAATATACTAAAGCCATATGCGGTCTATGGAACAGCTTTGAAGATGCCACATGTGAGGCAGTTGGAGCAGTGTTGTGTCTGAGACGTTTCCTTTCTCTCAATGTTGCTGGATTGCAGCTTCCGTGGTGTTGCAGGACTTAAAAAATGAAGCCCTGTCTGTAATATAGGTTGCATACAGTAGTCATCAAATAGACAGACAGTAAATTAAGCAGCTCAATGTAATTTTGAGGTCTGAAAATATTTTACAGTCAACTGCACATGGTGTGAGAATACACTACACTACGAAAAGTCTTTTGTTTTCCTTTTGTTTTGTTCAAACGTTATCAGTGTCACTTTGTATGAAGCGTAGAGGTGTGTGTGTGTCCCAAAGGAATTCCTGAAACAAAATTGAATTCAAATTCCATGCACTGTGGCAGTGAATTCCATCGTGACCACCGCTATGTGAAAGAGCGCATTCGGAGCCGTGGGTTGCACATCACTATCCAATTTTTGGACGTTACTGATAACTGGGGTATCTTTTTTACCCTTTTGTACCCTTGTACCTTTAGTGTGTATCTGTTGCAATATAACGTGAATATACAGTAATGTACCTTTATAAGTATTTGAGATACATAATTGGACCTTATAAGTACCTTTAATTCACTTTTAAAATAATACTTTAAAGGTAAAAGATACTGACTAAAAATGTACAGTTGACAATACCACCCCTCAATGGTGTGAATTTTTATTCTGCTCGACTAGCACAAATGAACAGCTGTGCAACGTATAGTCTGTATCTGAATCATATTTACAGAAATTATATTTTATCTGTCTCAAACTGATTAAGTAAAACATGCTGGGGCATAAATTCACAGAACAGCACCAGAAATTGAGGGAACTCATATTCGTATATGGTTTATCAGATGCTTCTGTGAGTTGCTCTCGATGATCAGCGAGTTTTTTCAGGAAAATAAAACCACTTTAACCCGTTTTAACAAACAGAACTGAAGGCTGCGAGCTGAAAAATGAATTCTCTTCCATATTCATAACTCTCCAAAAAGCCCTTCTAACCAACATCGACACACGTCCTTGTTTATCTCCAGTGGCCGTGCTCTTAAACCGCCTGTAACACCATTTCATCTCTCCGTTTATTCTGGCAGATAAACCTCATTAGGTCAGGCACACTTCTCAAACTGTTCTTACTTCATTTTCACCTCTGATCTGGCCTACAGTGCGAAGAAAAACGCATGGGCATGACAGCAAGGTTCCGGCACTTAGAATCTTTTAATCTAATCTTTAAAAAAAAAAAAAATGTTATATGTCGAGGACCTGCTGTTTGAAATGACAACGTGCTGTCCAGATGCCGAGCGAGCGAAGAGCAGGCTTGACCTGAGGTGTTGGAAACGTTGACAGTCTGCTAATGATGATTCGCCTATAGAAGCTGGAATGAATCTTAACATTTTTACACCACTGATATTTCGAGTAACTGTACCCAGTCATTCTTTTTTTTTAATCTTTTTGCACTAGAGCTCAAATGTCTGAATCCATTACATCTGAACCCGAGCTGATATTTCTCTTATATGAAAAGAAATGTCACTAATGTGAGAAAAAAAAAGGAAAACACAGAGTACTGAGTGAAAATGAAGTGTTTAAGACACAATAATAATTAACAATGTATCATGAGCAGTGTGAGCACTGACAGTTGGTGAGTCTTATTACTTCATCTGCTGAACGCCGTAGGATGTGAAACCACGGAAAATGCTTCAACAATTTCGAATATTGAGGGCTTCACCTCCTACAGCCTCAGAAGCAGGTTGCTTACACAATTGATGAACGACTATTGTCCAGAAAGTAGAGACAAACAGTACTGAGTGTGTTGAAAGGAAACTTTGCACTTGTAAAATGTGCAGGGTAAAGCATTCTCTGTGATTTAAGACACATTAGGGGAAAATAAGCATATAATTAGAGACAGTAACGCTCTCCAAACACTATAATTACCACCAAAGATATTGCCACCATTCGAATGCTAGTATTTCAGCACCATGGACAGCAACTCATAAATAAAGAAATAAATATTCACTCATTCGTCTTCAGTAAACACTTTATCCTGGTCAGAGACATGCTGGAGGTGGAGCCTAGCCCAGGAACACTGGGTGTGAGGTGGAATACACACCAGTCACACACTTAGTAACAGCTATAGGGCAAATTGTCCTAACCCATCCATCTACTGGCATGTTCTTTTTTGAGAACCCGTAGGAATCCCATGTGGACATGAACATGCAAAACCCTACACAGAGAATAACCCGAGCTCAGGAACGCACCAGAGATCCCAGAGCTGTGAGGCAGCAACGCTACCCACTACACCACCCATATACAGTTGATGTAAACAGGTTACACAGAATCAGCAATCAGAATGCACTTATTCGGATCATTGAACATCTTTACACAGCCCTTTTTTACCATTCGCATTTTCATGCTAGCTTCTGGCTGGTACGTCATCCACTGCAGGTTTGATAATGGAAGAACAGATATGACACTAAGAATAGCTTTCTCTCCTCTTCATTAAAAAAGCTGATTCTTCTGTAAAGGTTAAACAGCATCTTCTCCATCATAGGAGACAATTATCTTGCATGCATGTGTAATGGCTCTGGAGTTAAGCACGGGAGGGTGCCATCAGCACGCTGTTGTGTATTGCAGTGTGCGTCATACAGGTGACAAAACCCCTAATGACTGAGTTTTATGGCAGCAATTAAAATGGGAGAAATTGCCTGAGATGGGTAATGATGGCTCATAAATTTGCAACAACAACATAATTAAGGGGTCATTTGATGCAGGATTAAGTTGCCGATACACTCAGTGACTGTGAAACAAAATTTGCTGAGGTCTGCACAATGGATTTTGTTTTGTTTGTTTTAATTAAGTTACAGAAGCATGACCAACAACAAAAAAGCTCACAAATAATACTACAGATCATGAAGGGGATGGTATAGCACGTGGATGTAGTGGATTTAGACCCCACCCCCCACCCCCTCATATATCTAATGCATTTTCATATAACAATA